ATTTAAGTAATGCTCAAATTAATAAGAAGATTAATTCGGTCATTTTGTCTTCAGTCCCTTATATTCCGTAAAGATATATAGATGATGACTTTTTCGTAGTATAAGAACATTTATAGCGTCAATAATTCACTTTCAATCAACCGAAAGTTCATTACGAACGAAAGATTAAGACGATGATATATTGCTCGTTTCTTTAGGAACTAAATGTTAATCGGAATATTCTTATGTTGCTTTGTTTGCGGATGGGGCAAAGGATTTACTTTAGTCTTTTAAATATAATATTGCTTGAAGAAGCCTTAATCCCTATCATGCAATATCTAAGTCGTTAGCTTTCACAAAATGTAATCCCTCATCTGTTTTTTTCATCATCTCTACATTGTGATTCAATTTCTGTAGAAATGTAAGCCCCTGGGAGTTATTTCCAGTTCTTACCCATATCTCTCCCGCTCTCTCACTCCAAGCCCTTATCTCCCTCTTTCTCCCTCTTTTTCTCTCTCTTTCTCTATCTCTCTCTCTCTCTCTCTCTTTCTCTATCTCTCTCTCACTCTCTCTCTCTCTCTCTCTCTTTCTCTTTCTCCTAGCTCTTTATTTCCCATGTCTCTGTATATTATGTTCAAGACGTGGGTTCAGTGAACCAACGTCTAGTTGTTTTTCTTCTCGTACATAAAGAACATGATACATTTCGAGATTAAAGATGTCTACATGTTACTTGTATATCCTTCTCTTATGAAATAATACTCTATAGAGCCGACCGATGTTGATCATATCTTGTTAGATACAGATGCCTGTAGGTTTACCGAGACTTTATGCCATCATCAAGGATCAAACTGATAATATCACTATGTCAAAAGACAGTAAGCTGTAGCCCCTTAATATGATTGTTTTCACAAGATCCAGGGAAAACCCCGTCTACCATGATCCCTGTCAAGTTATACTGCATACATTCTAATCATAGCGCTTTATATAAAGAGTAATTCATCCACTGCATACACTAATATTTTCTCTATTTGACCCTCTGTTCTCCCTATTTTCTTTCAAATTTAGCGATCTGCAGTGACATTTACTTTTCTAGCCCTGCACTCCTTTACAAACATGGGTTCTGTAAAGATTAATATCGAAGAGTGTGCTATTGTTATGCTATGAATGAATATGACTGCGATGTTTCCAATAAATCTTATGTCATATTTTGTTGTAATCAAGCGAACAAAAAAGATAGTATGAATCATTTTCTTGTAACGTAATCTTGTTCATGTTTGACTTAATTGTATAGAGTGCTAACCACTTGGTAAGGCATGTAGCATCGTTCATCGTATCTGGTTCCCTGTTAAAGTGGATTGCCCTAGGCAGAGTATCCCTTTGCTGAAATCCGAAGGAATTTCTACTAAAAGAACTATTGAAAATGACTGGCATAGCCGATAGGAATGATCGGTGCATAAAAGTTTGCCGAAATTTGAAGAAAAGCAAAGGGAAATCATGTATCTGAAAATGTTTTGATGGGGTTATTCTAACCATCTTGTCTATTTGCTTTCCCCTCTTAGTACATGTCTAGCCAACATTGAAAGCTGTTGACGGATATTTTCAACACATACAATTCGAATGTGTCATTCAGCGACTCGTCACTTTTTAACAGACATGTCTTTAATACAGTTATTTGCAAATGTGATAACACATGTTTCTTGAGGCCATTCATGGGATTACTGAGTAGTGACTAATTATCAATTACTATTTCAAGACAGGTCGCTAACCTTTAGACGTGAAAGAGCTGTACATAACAAGTGAGGATGTTATTGATGCGTCTTACCAGCTATGACCGATAATGACTTGCGAGTTAATTCGTTCATCATTATTTTGATCTTTTATTAATTTGATCTAGTCCTAACATTCCCGCACGAGGCGTTTTGTTTAATCATAATATAATTGTGTGTGCTGCCGCCACAAGTGACCGTGTAGGAACTGTCACTGACACATTTTTTGTCTTTTGCTGATTTTGGTTTGTATCTGAAAATGGCTATGGACTCAGATTTGTTGAAACTATGCATTTGACGCCTCATTGCGTAAATTATTTACTTTCTTTATGAATAAAGAGCTTTTGAAGGGCTCCCTCAAGGCGGGAAACTGTTCAAGGAGATTGTCGTGTCTGTTTGGTATGTCTCAAGAGAAAACACTTCTTAGTGTATTGACCCTGTACAAGCTACATACACATACTCCTTTTATCATTCTTTAATTCTGTATTTAATTTGTTTTAGTTGACTAATTGAGAGAATGTTTATTATCTCCTCTCCCTCTTCATGTTATTTATTTCCCTCCATGCACTCTCTGTCTCTGTCTTTCTCTCTCTCTCTCTCTCTCTCTTTCTCTCTCTTCTCTCTCTCTCTCTCTCTCTCTCTTCTCTCTTTCTCTCTCTCTCTGTCTCTCTCTGTCTCTGTCTTCTCTCTCTCTCTCTCTCTCTATCTCTCTTTTACTTGCTCGTCTTTTCTCCCTCTCTTTTAAAGTTCTACTTTTTGTGTCCATCTTCCTCCTTCCCTCCATCATTGTTTTTGAAAAATATTTTGTAAGTACCTTCTCCTTTTTTTCAAACAGGATGTCTGTGGCTATGTATAAATAGATTCTCTCAATGTATAATAGATTTCAGTTATGTATTATCACCACTAGATTGTTAAATCAGAGCTCTAAAGCTCGAACGTGGTTTTGATTATAATTCCAGCATGTCGAATTTTTCTATTCTAGGGTGAAGATTTAGCATGCAGCATTCCGGCACGTTCTTGCCTTAAAACCGACCAGACTGTAAAGTCAGACTTTATTACTTTCCAGTCTAGCACACCGAATGCAAAGGATCATTCAGAGGACGTAATCTATCTTTAGTAATTATACAGAAACTATTAGAACACGAAATTAAATGTATTGTGCATGACAAATGCACGTATTTTAATAATGAGTGTTTATAAAGGAATGTATATTACGCAACGCGTAACAAGTAGACTGGAAATGGACCGACTGAAATAAGTTTGTTTGGCAAATGACCCTAAGATGGTTAACTCTAATTACAAAGAGAATGGGACAATTATACCCCCTCTCTCTTTCTCTCTCTCTCTCTCTCTCTCTTGCTCTTTATCTGTCTGTCTGTCTGTGTCTCTCCCTCTTTTTCTCCGTCTCCTTTCCACTCTGATATTTTTAATCTATATTATATGAATTGATTTTGATACAATTCTGTATTTTTAAAATGGTTATAGTGCACACGTGTTATGAAACGTGTGAGCTTGTGGTAGTTTGAAGTTTATACACCAGAATATATCCATCCATTGTTAATGATGCAGTTGAAAGTAGATACGGGGCTTATCATTGTGCCGGAGTTAAAAGCAATTAAAACCGAATAAAAGTTCATAGAAGGAGAGGTGAGTTCGACTTGCGTTGGTGCATGGAAGAATAGAATTTCAAAATGTCGAAAATGTACAATCGCGGGGGAACGAGATTTAAAAATTGAAACAAAATTGACGTCATTTGTGTCACCTTAGGGGCTCCGTACTGACAAGAGCAGTATTTCAAATTCCTTTTAGAATTATAAGTACTAAACAAAATCAGGCGCGGATCCAGGATTTCTTAGAGGGGGGCACGTGCCCCTATGCCCCCCCCCCTAGATCCGCCACTGAAAATCATATTGTTTTGCTACTATGAACTATTGAAGTAGCGATTCGGTGGGATGTGAGAAAATCGATAAATTAATACTTTAAGGTGGAGATCTAACATGCGCTCTTCTGCTTTAATGAAAGGAATAAACGTGAATATCCTTCTTCTTCGTATATAAACGTTTAGTTTATAAAATAGATATCTACATTCTGATTGTTCTTCTTGATTATTTGCCATACACATTTCGTCAGAAGAGGTCCATTTGCACGACTCGTGCTTAGACTACACTACTGCTGCATCATACCAAAGTAGACGAAACAAAACTGTCATTTAAAGAACATATTAATATCTTTTATATCATTGAATGATTTGTTGAATTAATGCTAAAAAGGACTGGTTATTAATATTAGCAGCGATGCGGACAGCAGAAAGACGGGGAAATGAATGCCCTTCAATTTAGAATTGAAGAGCAAAATTTCGCTAGAAACAAGTGTTTGGTAAATCAAGGGAGAAATATAGAGAGAAGGAGTTGTTTACAAATCTCCCTGCATCTGTATGATGTATTGGATCGCTTTGCACAATTCTTCCACTTATAAGCTTGCTATTTTTAGACGATTTTTTTAATTACTGGTAGAGCTTGTTGACGTGAACTTGCTTTGTGGTCACGCAAGCAGCATTATCAGTAGACGATACACTATCGATTTTAAACGTAACTGTAAACAAGTTTATTATTGTGTTCACCTCTTATGACAGATAGATAGGCACCTGGTATAAGAATTAGCTCATTGGAAGATGTACCTAAGTCAACACTTGAAATAACAGCCAACATTTCAATTAAAAATTGATTTGATCATCGGAAACCATGCATTTCGCATGACACAATTTTTTTAAATCACCGTTCAGATATCTCGCATTCTCCAGTCGTCGCTGCTTCGATTTTCCTGATTAGCTAACTACGTCATGTGTTCGACATTTCATTACGACAAAATTGCGTCCAAATTGCTTTTGTGTGTGTTCAAACGACATGTTTGAAATACCCTTTTTAAAGCGAGCGAGAAACCATTTATAATTTTGAAGATAACATTAAAAAAAATATGTGCATACAGGAAATGTACGTATTGTATTTGTGTTAACTTTGTTGCAACTATGCTGCTAGGAAAGTTTATCATATCCAGTTATGACCATTTTTAAGCCATTGCAAAATTGATTGTCATACTATGAAAAGCAACACTCATTATAGAATTAAAGAAAAAGGCTTCCCCCACCCACCCGTTTATATTTTGTCCCCCGTCCCACGATTGGCAATGTTGGCGCATTGTATCTGATTTACTTGTAATGAGTTGCTCAAAATTGTTCATCATTTCTTGTTAATGCAGGTAATATGGACAGACATCACTACGAGACATTTGAAGCCTTCGGAAACTTTACCTTCCCTATTCATCTCGACCATGGTAGAGCGTAAGTACAACATATGCTATTGTGGAATTGCAATAGAAACTCACAATACAAATAGCCTATTGATGAAGTCATAATTAACAATGCCATTGTAGTCCCAAGTATTGTTCAGTTTCTTTGAAAATGTCAAGTTCAGAGCAGGCGCGTTATGATCATATTATTTATTGAGTTGCTAAGTTACTATCCATTCAGTTTATTTATAATAAATTTGTTTTGTTTGCATGAGTAAAACATACAGAAGAATAGAAGAAGAATAATGTAATAAATGTACTGCAACGTTCATGTTTTGGGTGGCAGCACCAATAAGGCTTTTGCTTTCATGAGCTGTCTCCTCATTCATGCGTTATTATTTCATGATCCGCTCTATTCATTCCAAAAATGTGTGTATCATAAATGAGTTAAATAAATATCAACTTGAACTTGAACAAAAGCAATTACAAATATTAACAAAAAGATGGGAAAGATAAGAAATGAACTAGGTTGTAAATTGTTGATTACAAGTACAGTGAATAAGTAATACTTAAAAAGAATAAAATTCGAATTTCATAAACTCGAATATCTGGTATCGTCCGTATTGTTTTGGAAGTACGAAAAGCGGTTTATCATCCTGTCAACTGAGGATAACTTCATTTTAGTTGATGGATTGCAAGATAAATGTATCTATAAATATAATTAGCTAGAATATAGGTTTTTTGCAAGAAATGGAGAGGATGTAAATATTTATTTCCAACATTTAGATAAACTTTGTTTCCTTTATTTCAGTAATTGCTTTTAAGAAGTTGTTTTTATTGTCATGATGAGTTGGATTAATTTCATTTTTTTCACTAATGTATTTATTGAATAGTCAATGTTGGAGAAACCTCCGACATTTGTAACGTTATTCTGCAAGAAGATGATTTACAAATATAGCATGTACAAAATAGTAAATCAACAAAGAAATCGCTTTAAACCTGTAATGTAGTTTTTTAAATCGCTTTATTAGCAGGCTTAACATAATCTTCAAGTGTGCTTTCTTTATTTTTGCAAAGTACACTTGAATAGAAGCTTCTGAAATGCAAATTCTATGTTTTTTAAACACACTTCTTATTCATTCGTCAACATAATTTTCTTGAAATACCTTTCCTACACCGAAGTATCTTGTAAAATTAAGTGATTTAAAGATTTATAAAAATCTATTAAATGTATTAAAACAATTTATAGTCAATAATCTTCCCTTTTCGGTCGTTGTTAATGTTTTAATAGCATTAATATAGATCTATTTTATGTAGTCCTGATACTACTTGTACCGATTACTGTATTATTGCCATGCTATCGTAAAAAGAGCACTTTTTTCAATTCCAATGACCTTCCTTTGGAATTTGGATGAGACCTAATCGAAATCTTAAGACTGCTGTGGCGGCATTCTACAAGAACACTTGAATACACTGCATAGCCGGAAGGAAGGAAAACTCTTCATGATAAGATTGCTTTTTTTTTTCATTGTAGCGTTTAGCTTCAGATGATGTTCCTATATACTGGGGAGAAGTTCAAAGTACGAAAGCATTAAGTTTATGAAAACCCAATCAAATACTACCTTGATATTCATATATATATATATATATATATATATATATATATAACTCTTTCATGTGTGATTACAGGTTCGGGAAGCACCATCATGATGAACTGAGTATATTGGCACCACTTATTCAGTGTTGTAGGTATGTATTATGTCATCGTGTATTATGTCATCGTGTATTATGTCATCATGTATGCTGTACAATATGGAAAATAATGTAATAAATTACATTGTGAGAACTCTCAAAGTATTTTATAAAAAAACTTTCTCCTTGAGGGAACTGAAGCAAATATATCATTTTGGTAATGTTACCAAATCTAATTCATACGCCTTTGTGAAGTGTCTTGATACGAATTATTTCATTCATCTTTGTTTCAATAGTCAGAATGCGAACTGCATACATTACTTGTTGACAGGTACGAAAAACATGATCGCTTGCCCTAACTTATAACATGTAATGTATGTATCTTGAATTCTGACCATCGAAATACAATTATCCATTACAGGTGAATGAAATATTTGTATAGGGAACTTCACAAAGACGTATGCATTAATGGTCTATTGTCGCCATCAGTCATCGAAGAAAAATGCCATCTAATTCAAGTACTAAAGCAGATTCTCTTTCAATTGTATTACTTAACATATACGGATATTGCACTGTGATTTACTGTTTTATGATATGTATGTACTTCTTGTTGTTTTTATATGGATTAGATTACGGCAGTCGACGCATGAACGTGTAAAGCTTCTTGCTTCGGATAGGTACCGTTTAAGCGATGTTATGCGAGATTCGCTAGCAACCGATAGATTAGCGCCTGTAATTATCGAGGAACATCTAGAAGCGCTAGACCGACGTCTTTCTATAATTCTTGAACAGCTCACAAGATGTGTCACAAGAATTGGATCCGAAGAAGAAGTCTTCAAACCGGAACCGCGGATAGAGGATTATAAGGAAAAAGAAGCGATGCAACCGTACGGTTCGGATCTTGACGATGATGACTTTGATTTTTAAGAACGATAAAGGAGAATTCAATATGTTTTCTCTTTCATTGATTTGACTTATTCACAGTATGGCTTTTCAAGGAAGTTGAAGAGAAATCCTAAGCATTCCGTTTTATAGATGAAGACTTGTGTCAACTTGTGAGACCATCTCATATTAAAGTGATTACACGTTACATCACTATTTCATATTTTTCACATGGTATTTGATGAGAACTCCGTTGTTCGACTTCAGTCAGTCGTCAAATCTCATGACAATTTACAACTCTTCGTAGAATTTTGTAGAAAATTATGATATTTAATGCTTTATTTCATTACTCTAAGCATCATCCACACTTAACCGGGTAACCTAAAAAGTAGGAACAACTCTGTAATTCTTTTGCACGTACAATGGTTTTATTTTCTCTTTTAAGGCGGTTAATCGATGTTAAAGTTTCATGGCATGACTCTGTAACGTTATATTTATATGTGTGTGTTTTGCCTTACCTGAAAATACCAGGTGAAATTTTTAGAGTATTATTCCAAAAATACTTTTTAATAGCGAATGCAATCCCTTGTAAACGGTTTGTGTTTATTTCTTTCCTTCTAAATGGCATATATCTATAAAGTAACGATGGAATGGTTATGTGATACGCATTTTTAATTTTGATTATTTATTTTGTGCAATTCTAAGTGTTCTTATTGGTATCGAGTACGTGTTATATGTTTCATATTTTAAGTTTTGGGATCTAATACTGTTTTTTTCTTCTGAAAAATCGTGGTACCAAAAATTCGACCAGTAATGATCTCTGCTCCTTATCAACCAAAGTGATAGTTATTCCTTTCTCAGTGACTGTCTTGTAGATCTTTGTTTGTTTAATCTGTGAAGACCTCGCTATTTACATTATGTTTTCATTCTACCATCGAGAAGATACCATATTTGTGTTATGTGAATGGTGATTGAAAGAGGTGTTGGGAATGTTATCAGTGTTTTCACTTGGTGTTTTCATACATTTGTCAGAGGGGATATTGATAGAGAGCCAACTATCTAGCCAACTGAACCAATTATCAAGCAATACTTACCTGACTAATGAGACATAACTAATTAGAACATCAGCTTAATGCAAACAATGCGCTACCGTATACCTTAATGAAACACTTATTCCTATGTGATCTGTATTCGTCGTAGTTATTGTTTGTACCAAGGAGACATTTGCCATATTTGTCTAGATATACTGTGATATGTTTTAGCTTAGTTTATTTCGCTGGCTTTAGAGATGCTATGTGTTAAGTGCTTTGATATACCTATTTAATTTGAATGATCTATGACATACATGATTCAAGTGCCATGTTATTCAATTGTTAGTTGGATAAGACAATTTTTTTCTTGTATGACTAAATGGCGTGTGTTTACGGTTGGTATATTATCGATGAATCGTATATTTTGTAAATTATATATTTATTGATCATGTACTCTTGAAAATTATACTATACTCTTTCTCATTGTTTTATAATTGATCATAAATATTTGTAAATAACCAAAGGTAATAATTCAGATCACGGGGATAAGATGATAACTTAAATTTCTACGATTAGAAAAAAACAAATCAATAATGCTCGATGATGGAGTGGTACAACTTTTCGATAATCCTTGATATGATGTTGATTTAATAGCTTTGCATGCTATCTCATTATTTACATTTATTATACATAATTCGATGTAGTACAGGTGTACTCATCGCAAGGTTACACATATCGGACGGTCTGTAAGCAAACCAACCCACTCTCCCTCCCTCCCCACCCTACCCCCCCCCTCTCTCTCTCTCTCTCTCTCTCTTTCCCTCTCTCCCTCTCTCTCCCCCTCTCTCTCTCTCTATATATATATCGTCCTCACCATCGCTATCTTTTTTTCTCTATCATGTTTTTGTCTTCTCGTTTGCCCCCCCCCCCCCCCGCCCCGAGGATTGATATTTGCATTTGTATATAGATATTGCTTTATATTTTATTCTAATCACACTTGTAGTCAAGAACTAGACGTTCACTTTAAAATAAAATCGAATCTTCAGTTCTCTATTTCATTACAAAAGAAAATAACATCCATCATTAATGTGAGAACCGTGTCATATTTTCTATTGTAAATTATTTTCATTTGTTATTTGGTTTATAGTTCACGCTTAATCATTATGTGCATTTGTTGTTTATTTCAACTGTTACATCAGTGTCTGTTGATCATGTCATAACTTTAGTTTACTTGCCGATATTATGATGTAATCATTATCGTAAATCTTTTTCTTGCTGTAAATGAACAATTGGGTGTACTATAGTTGGAAGATAATCTTTTTTGGGCACATTTGTGAAAATAAATTACTATTTCTTGAAAAATTGCATGTATCCTTTATTTCATGTCACATTGGTATTGTGTGCTCGGTTGGATAGCAACCTCGACACGTATGTATAGGGAAGCATCGTCTTCCTTGGGGAAATCAGAACACGATATTAATACTCGGTGTACCTTCAAATACCTCGATAGCAGTGGGTAATTTACCAGAAATGATGAGATTGACATTATAATCTCATGTACCTCTACCATCGTGTTATTATTCATACTACCCACGCAACCCAATAAACTGAATTATAGTCTCGTTCTTTCTCCTCCATGTTGGTGTGTCTTGCATTAACAAGAAATATAACAGCAAGAGTTTGAAATTATTCAGAAAAAGCCCCCGCAAGCTGGAAATACGTGTCATATTTCAAATTAGCAAGCTTTTACAACCCCGAATCCTTGCCTATGGGTTGCCAACGAGCATATACATGTACTTCGCTCCGCAATGGCGTGAATGATGAGGGGAAGCAAGGGGGTAGAAGGGTAAAACAAAAAAGGGAGGGGGTAAAGAAAAGTTTAAAAAAAAGAAAAAAAAAGAGAGAAGATAGGACCCCACCCAAACCTTTCCATGGCCTAGTACATTCGCATTTCATCCTACTAGATTTCATCGCTGCTGCCCCATGATAAACTTAGTTTAGAATAATGCCAAATTTAGGTTTCAATTATTTGTATGGCTCGAAAATTAAGGGATTTAAGGTAAATAATAAAAGTTCAATCTTTTTTATCAGCCTATATATGTCTTTGAAATACAAGACATAGACATATCTCCCTTTTGTTTGAGGCTGATATCAAAATTACGCTTTAAAAAAATTATATAGCTTGATATGAGTTGACGAGACTTTCGCAATTTGTTGGATAGTTATGAATAACTGACGATTCAATTCTATTCAAAGGAGCAAATATTTTCTTCAAATAATTTGTTTCATATCAACAAAATACTACAGCACTATTATATACAAAAAGACTTGACAAATTTGACAGAGCGTATTACCAGTTTTAACAAAATGAAGACGGCGTACTTCCTAAAAGCTTAGGCTTGTGTCGTATAAACCTTATGGACAAAATACACTATAGATTTTTTTTAATTTGTTTTTAATTTCCTTATAAAATCATCACAACATACAAATAATATACTTATCTGTAAAGCGCTTCGAGAGGGCCTCCGGTCCTGAAAAGCGCTCTATAAGAACGAGCTATTATTATTATTATTATTATTATTATTATTAATACATACATACATAAATGAGATATACGGCGGATAGCCCATTTTAGGTGTATTAACAAAATACGCCTGTTCTTCCATGGGGTCCGGATATAAACAAGAACGAAAAGGAACAGACGAACTAAAGGAAAGAAAAGAAATAAAGAGAAAAGATAAGTGACAAACTAGATAAGAACATAACGAAGTCTGTCATCATTGCAGTGGTCACTGGTCATATTAGGTGGATACATTATAAAATTAGGGGTATATATTGTGGAAAAGGCTCCTCTGAATTTTCACCTTCATTTTTCTCTTTTCTTCGCCATGTGATGGTTGTCACGCTACTGCACTCTTAACACATTTGGTAAATAATTGCCCAGCACGAGTGTAATTATGTGTCCTACCGAATTTAGGCATTTTCTTCACCAAACTTGGCTAATATATTGCACAATTAGGGTCAAAATAAAGAATTCTTACTTCAAAATGGGAAAAGTACTAAACACGCAGTAAAGGTTAAACAAAACACAAAGTTGGTTGGATACATAATTATCCTCTTGGCAAGGTCTGCCCAGTATGTTAATTAGGGGAATTTTGTTTTCTGCATACGGCCAAATTATTTCATATTTGTAACCATCAACATGTGACATTAACCCTCGTACTCCCACAGTTTGATGTTTTCTGTAACTGAAATGTCATGTAAAGTGAGGAAAACAATCTCACTTATTATTTTCAAGGCTGGCATTAGTTGTAATTAGTATTTACCGCTGATACGAACAAGAATGAGAACAGAATATGCAACTAAATTGGGAGCTTTATAAAGCTGATACTTTGACATTTTGAATGTATCGTTTGACCAAACATTCTGCTTCCTGCTTGTAAAGGCCAATAGATTCATCCAACTATCATGCACGGTCGATATACCTAACGCTATCCTATCTGACATGTTTAATCTTTGACGTCAATTTGTCTTGTCTTCTACGTACACATGTTCAGTTTCCTACCAACATTGGCACCATTCGGCTAGGAACTAACCAGACTAATATCAAATGTTAGGCAGCAAAAACAAATCAGTCTGACAGTTGACGGAAAAGAACGGATGAAGGGGATTGTAATACCTCTGTGAGTAGACGCGATTTTCTGTTGTGAAAACCTAATAATGAGCAGGTACTGAGCGGATTAAAACAGAAAATGAAGTAGAAATGTAGAGAAGTAATGAGCCCCGCCTCATCCGTACCCCGTAACTGGGTCATAACAACATCAAAGCAACGGAAATATAGTTTCCCTCTTATGTAACCTTGAAAATGTTCTGCCTGGTCTTGCGGATATATCACCCATATCGACCACAAAGTAAGGAGGTGAACCAATTTCTCAGCCGGAGCGGATCCACGCGGGGGGGGGGGGGGGGGGGGGGGCGTGTCCGACGTGCTCACACATTTTAGTGCTCACTACCCCCCCCCCCATCCCCTTCCTGAGCGAAATATCGGTCGGCGCGACTCTCCCCCAACCCCAACCCACCCCCCCCCCCACCCCCTCTTATTTTATTTCCATGTGCTGACGCCCGGTTATTGGCAATTCTTGCAAAAGATTCTAGAGAGATAATAATAATAATAATAATAATAATAATAATAATAATAATAATCTTTTAAAGTCCACTCCAAATTTTATTAAACCGGAAATGGAAATTCTTTTTGCCTAATTGACAGTGGCGTAGACAGGTTCGTACACCTGGGGGGAATGACTCAGGGGCGGATCTAGCTTTTTGCTAAGGGGGGGGGGGTTGACCAATAATGACGATGCAGAGCATCGTCCACGAGCCGCGAAGCGGCGAGCCGATTTTTTTTGGGGGTGTTTATTTGAACCCCGTATTTTATTAACACAATGGAGACCATAAAAAGCAGTGTATGATAACGTCTTTTTAAATCAAGTAACAGTTAAATACACAGTTATATCCAGAGTTATCATGTGTTTGGTTAAGTTACCAGATGAGTTGAATATCTTCTCACAATATTTGCACTTGAAAGGGTTTCTCTCCAGCGTGCATTCTTTTTTCTTTCTTTTTTTTTTTTTTTTCTCCTTTTTTTGTTTTGTTTGTTTTTTGGGCCGCCCAAGGGGGGTTTAAACCCCCTAACCCCCCCCCCGTAGGTCCGCGCCTGTTTAATCTTGTGGTTATGTTTCCAAACCACAAGATAACCACAAAATACTTGTAAGATTTTCTTTTTTTTTACCGTCTGAATTGGCTTTCACCGTGTGAATGCGGCTAATAACAATAAACACAATTACAATAATGATGAGGATTATTATTATCATCATCATAATTATTATTATTATTAATATTATCATTGTTATCATTATTATTATTACTATTATTATCATCATTATGACTTATTAAGTAAGCAAATATCATTCCCCAAAACCTAGGGGGGGGGGGGATGATTGTACATGCCATCCCCCTCATCCCCCCCCCCCCTCCCCCCGTTGTCTACGCCCCTGCTAATTGATCGTGAGCCCGGCAGCCACTGAGCAGCGCCAGATCGACGTGATGTGAAGGAAAAGGTATGATCTTTTTAGATTCCGTGTGAAAGTTACAAAACTATTTACTACATTGGCTTCCTTTTTCTCTCCTTTTCTTTCATCTCTTACTCCTCCGTTTTCGCCATGTCTCTCTCTCTCTCTCTCTCTCTCTCTTTGAACCTGTGTCTTATATTTTGATAAAGGCGATCTATGGTAATAATCTGATATATCATCGGTATGCTGATGTGCCAAAATTATTGCAGTATTCGTCTCCCACTCAGTTTTCCGATTAAAAAAAGAGAGATATTACTCGTTTTCCTCCCATACCCCCTATTTTTCCATATTTAATTTGATATGTCTTTAATCTACAGTGCGTTTGAATAAGTTTACCGAGCTTTGGTAACTTGTGATTATAAATTCTTAATCATTTGACCGTGAAATCTTGATCATGATTGTGTTCTGTCTCACTCGTGTTCTGTCTAGTGATATTCTTTTCTTTTCGTAATGTTTCTACTGCGGATGACCTAGCACCAGGGGGGTGTTTCACAAAGGTCCTAAGTCGAACTTAACTCTAAGTTGGACTTAACATTATGGATAGCCATTAATAGCCTTAAAATGAAATATATTCAAAAGCAAAATTTCAAGTATTTTAGACTTTTCATACATTCCACATCAAGAACATGAAATCACCTTGATAATAGAAAATATAAATAATTTGAATCAACATTTTATGCCTTTTAAAATAAATTGTAAAAAATATTAAGATGCTTACGGCTTTCCATAATTGTTAAGTCCAACTTAGGATTTTTGTGAAACAACCCCAGGTTTGTTAAAAGTACAGTCGAAATAGCCCTGTTTAAAAAAAAAAACACGTCTTAAGGCTTTGACCTACGTGAATTAGTTCAGCCCAAACTTGGTACGACCAAAGAGATACCAGCACGACTGGATTTTGACAATACGTTTTTAAAGGCTGTAGTGTGGCAGCAGAATGATGGGTAATGTACCATTAGATAGTCCATGATTAGATAGTTAATGATTAGATAGTTAATGATTTTTAAAAAAATATCACACAGGTTATAACTTTTAAATGGAATGTACCCTAGTTAGGGATAATTTTTGTACGCATTGTACAGGTGCCCCAATAGAAAAAACACAGGCAATCATATAAGATTTTTGTATCGTTCATAAATATCACTTTAATCTATAAAATAAAAAATAATGTAATATCAATATAATGCTTACAATAACCATGACAACATGAAGAGAAATATACACACACATATAGGTAGACAAATTATATAATACAATTTACACATTTGAAGAATAAGAATTACATTGGTCCATCTCAGAACTTGCGTGAAGAAAATAAAATTCGTTTCGTTGAATTCACCTAAACTTGTCTATATGTGCCGATAAACTCTAAAAGATCATTAATTTAAAGAACTCTGCGAGTCAATGATGCAGATTAAAACCTCACTATTATATGGAATTGATTTTAAAAAACAGCTATACATTGCATGTTTTACTGAAATAAAAAGATAATCATCATAAAATTTCAAGGCATCAATACACATTCAAAAATTAAACCTCAAATTCACAATATAAAAACCCACATTACATGACCAATATGAATACATTTAGTACTATAGGAATTGAAATCTGCTAAAAATCAGAAAATGGCAGTAATCGAAATGGTAAAAACTAACGAGAGGGAAACAAATCATCTCTATGAAATTTCCACAAAGCAACTAAAGAGAATAACAAATGTAATTTCGATACAAGAAAGTGTATGGTCAATGGTCATTTACATTTCATATGAACTATTTAGGTTTGTTTGTTTCTTTCATTGTTTTACCTGACTGCTAAGAAAGCTTGTGTACGCTTGTATGTAAAATGTTAAGATTCAATATGAAAAACAAATACTTCCTTACAAACCACGTGTCATCTAGTATCAATCATGAATACATACATGTTTGCAGAAACGTGAATTTACGTGTAGCTGTAAAAAAAAAAAAAAAAAAAAAAAAAAAAAAAAAAAAAAAAAAAAAAAAAGGAATGCTCTTTAATGTTTAATAAAAATGTACGTGAACGTTTTGATACTATGGCAACAGTCGGGTTCAATAGAAACATGGCAAACCTGTACTCCTCGGCGTCGGCAATTTAATGTTAACCATACATTCGTCTACTCAGCAACACAAACATACTCCACTCTATTCCGAGGTTGTCTTTCAGTAATTATAACGCTCGACCTTTAAGTTATATCACACTCATGAATGTGTCATGATGATTCGTTTAGCTCAGCACCCACTCTTATTTATTTATTTCATAGAAATGATGTTGAGTCCTGTATCGTGTTGACGACTTTTACACTTAATGAGAGTGGGTGGTGAACAGTTAAATAATTCAAATATATTGCGCTACTTATGTACGATGCTCCTAACAAAAGATACAATGATTAATAAGTAACACAATACTGGATATAGCAGGAATGTTTTGATAGCAGCAGTTGCGTTCTTAATTCTGGAGGACACAACAGATAAAATAAATAAAAATCATTAATCACTGCTCCTATACAATCCAATTCCTACTGTTGATGAGAGCCCTGTCTAGTTTAAACCTACTAAGTCCTCTCTTAAGTACGATGCACTAATTGCTCGGGAGAAGCTATTATTGATTTACTCTGATAAAAGGCCAGTGACGTAGGGTGGCTTCGGGCATTCGGGGGTTGGGGGGGGGGGGGGGCACCGGATGTACAGAGTGTGAAGGGTCTTAACGTATTGGTTCAATTACATTCCATTCCAACTTTTTTTCTCTCCCTTATCAAAATGTTGAGATGGGTGAGGGGGCATGTGACCCCCTCTCAGAGGAAACGCCCATACAAACGTGAATATGATCGATTAAGCGAGTGCGGCCGACGATCGTAATTATACATTTTAAAGTTTTAACGACACTTTTATCAATAACAGGGAGTTCATTGATGTATGCGTCATCATTTCTTGAAGCAAGTCACCATTGAAATGTTGTCCGTTTAGACTGTTCAGGATTGAGCGGGATGTACGTGCACAAATTTCAGGTTTGAAGGAAATGATATCGATACACCACTCTTAAATTGAAACGGTAAAATCGTTTACAAGTTGTTAGTTACGGCGAAAAAAGAATAGACGTGACAAACAATGTTACAATACAATGTCTGACTGGTGATCAAAACTTTAAGAAACAAAAACAATAATTTAATAACATTTAGTTATTTTTTACATCACAATGGGAAATCGATTGCAGTCTCTTTGCCGAATTAAATGTTCATTTTCTGGCTATTTTTCTCCATCACTATCAATACGCATCTCACCAAATATTTACACAATACGATACACATAATATAACCACCTATTCTTTAAATACAGTTTAGTCTCTTTATTCGTACAAACGCGACTCGTACTGATCCGCAAAATATGTTCATGATTACTCCACACATGGGTAAGGAGCGAATCAACGTCTCCCCTCAACGTGCCACAAGATCCCCTGTGATACACACAAATCGAATGCATCGTGCAGAGTGTTGAACCAGATGATGTTTCGGACTAACCAAAGTTCCTACGCCCAACGCAATCCCGTGCATAGGGGTACATCTGATCACCAGAGAGACACGCTGGGAAGTCTCCAAATCGAACACAATGCCCTTCTCTGAGTACGGTGGTTCGGTATTCGAATCTGCAAACCGATTGCGGTGACGATGATCTCGATGACGAGGCTTCATTAGTTGATGGTGAACGCTTGTTCCGATGAGCCTCTCTCAAAGCAGATTTCAGCAATTTCGTCAAATCCTGGAAATTGAGACAAAATATGATCGGTACAGGTAAATACAAATAAGTGGATTAAAAGAAAATACAATTATGTTTCATAATTCTACCTTATAGGCCCATTGCCCTTTTTACGAAGAGCGACATCTGAGTCAGATCAAGTTATGTTATTCTCCTGGCACAAACAAATGGTTGCCTTAAGTTATTAACACAGGAAGGATGCCGGTGCAGACGGTTAGTTTAATCACCATCTACTCTCACTACATGACGTACATCGTTCGGGTGCAATCAATAATTAGTCACTGCAGTCAATGAAAAGTACATTCCAAGAACTATTATAGTTTTATCCACCTCAGTCTCCTCACAATCATGTTGAATCTGTCCATCTTGGGCACAACCGGCGCATGTTGGAGGTAAACTACTATAGTCTTCTATTCACAATTACCTACTCGTCAAAGTCATAACTTTAATACCTCACCCTCTTTCTCGTTGAACATCACTAAATAATTCGACATCATTCGTCGGGGTACGCAAATGGAATTCATTGAATCATGACCTAAGATCCAGTTCATAATTATAAACACTTTAAAATCAATGTAAAAAAAAAAGTCTGTTTCAAAGAATGATATCCATGGTTGAGTAGGTACTTCTCTCTCCCGTCTTACTTCTCCTTTATTTCTACCTTTCCTATTTTTCGCTACTTTCTATTCTATCTGCGAAACCTTCCTGGTGAATGCGTGTGTGTTAATGTGTTTGTGCGTGCTTGTATTACGCAAGTCTTTTACTTGTTATTGTTTATGTTCATTATGTTGTTATTGTTTATTACAGGGCCCCGATTACAAGCAGATTTTCTGCTTCTTAGGGGTTCTAACCATTATTTTGTATATTGTCATCGTAAATTGTTTTATGTTGGTTGAAGCAATCTAATCTAATCTTCTGTGTAGTGTTGAATACATTCTTCCTTCACTTCAAAGAATTTTACCAAAGAGAGTATCCTCCTTGATTTTACCAACGCTAATTCTATTCTTAGAACCACGAAAGGTTTATTTCACTTCTTTTTTTCCGCCAACAAAAAAAATATTAATCAGCAGGGGTATTTTTATAGAGTTTAAGACACATCAACATAAAATTTACTTTTATTTTTTCTAGAAAATAAAAAAGTATAATTTTTTTATTTAGCGTTGACCTACTTATCTGAGACATCTGCCCCCCCCCCTCCTCCAAATGTGACAAAGTCATACAAATAAAGAAAGAATCTACTTGCGTGGTGGTGGGGCCTTTTACTTTACACGAATCACATTTCTGGGCAAATCAAATACATATCCAACTTTATAAAAACAATCTGGTCAGGATTTATGTACTGTCTTCTTCTTCTCCTCCAAATTTCTCCCTAATAATTATCAATTGAAGAAAAAAATCTTCAAATCACATCCACACGATGTTTGAAAAGACGACAAATAAAAGGGTATGAACTCATTCTGAACTTTCACCAAAAAGCAACGCATGCCAAGGAGAAGGATGAAGAAGACAACTATTGACAGACACCGGCGGAATGTTGTCTCGGCAACATACCGATTCGTTCAAACCATACCCTGTCACACGATGAAAAGGCACCTAATCTCTGGGTTTGGTTCTCCCCAGGGGCTTTGTCTTCATTAAATACCACGTTCAAAACAGTCCATGTTCAAACCTAATCACATTTTCCCGACCTTAAAATCAAATGCAAGGGACTGTTCACTTTTATTTTGTTGATGAAATACGCGGAATATCGTATATGTTTCGTGTCATACGTGCGATGGTTTGAAGTCTTCATGTCCGTTATCACCCGACTAGAAGTTCCACGTGAACGGTACTGGTGAGTATCAGAAGAATCAAACAGGATTCCCTTCCACGTGAACGGTACTGGTGAGTATCAGAAGAATCAAACAGGATTCCCTTCCACGTGAACGGTACTGGTGGTTCATTCAAGTTCAAGCGATGTCTGTCAGCCTCCAAGGTCGCCAGTTCTAATACCTAGCGTCACAACTAACGTCAACGTAAGCACGTGGGACTTTGAAATCGAGATGCCCACCGGTGGTTATTACCCCAAGTTCGGTAAATCGTCTCCTTAGAATGGTTGAAAGACAGAGTAATGCTGAGATTACATCGAACACGTGACATCCCAATGGTAGGTAACGTGTTCGACCAGGATCTCTCATTTCCTTGGAAATATTAAACAAATATTATTTCTACAAGCAAAATTATTTTTGGGTTTTTTAGTTTTGTTTGTAATTCCATGAGACACAGATTATGAAACTGAACCCCTCTCACATCCCATTACCTAGAGTAAAACATGAAAATAATATATCTGAAACTCTCAGGGGTTGCAAGATACACATTACTAGGTAGACTTGCCATGGATATTAACAATGCAGTGCAGGACGTGTTCCCTGGGTCCGGGACTCCAAAGGCGACTCTCACAAACAAAATTCTTCGAAAATAGATTCATCTTGAACATTTCTAGATTAAGGAAAGTCCAATCAAATGTTTATCTTAAAGGGATAGCTGAGTTCTGTTGCAGAGGGCGCTACACAAAATAATTTTGAGATAATGAAAAACTGAGTATCATATTTGAAAGAACATAATATTTAAATGACAAAATCATCTTTGTTTGATCAAAATCGGTTCAGAGACGGCTGAAATATAAATAACGCCTTTTACGTCGTATTTTGACCAATGCCGATGGTGGCTTTTTTTTGGCATTGTAAAATCATATCCATCGTTATCGGAAAAGTTTTGGCACCTGTATGACATACGGTCGAATTTACCTGTCCTTAGACAAAGTTTAAAACATGATGAACCTGAATGATGATAACTTATCTCATGACAATCATGTATATACCTAAAGAGAAGGTTGTGGTGAAAAGTAATTTGTGAGCATTCTCTTTCTTTCCATTCCAATGTGGAAGAATCTTACACTTTTGATAAACCGCAATTCCTGAAATATCTAAATTTGAAATTTTATTTTTTAATATTAGCCTTTCCGTATAAAAAAACATCGGGATCTGGCATTGGCAAGCAGAAATTGATAAAGAGATTGAGCGTGCGGTAATCCCAAACTGCTAGCATAAACGGATTCTTTGTTGGAATGCCATTGTAATTAGGTGAATGCATTGCTTGATAAGGCAAACCATAACCACTAGATTCGGAGCAAGGTTCGCTGATCGAATTAATTACACCTATGAATAAAGTGATATTGCCAAATGTCACAGGCCAGACAGACAACCTTTTAAGCGATCCCATCCGTCGCTCTAGCAATGAAAACACATTATTATACAATTTATTTCATTTCATTTACATAGATAGGACTTGGAGACGCAGACAGGTCGGACGCTGTCAATCGTTATTAGTTTTGTGCATCGTGGCACAATTACCAATGAAGGATTTGATAAAACAGGGAATATATAGATATGTAGGCCGGGAATTAGGGTTTTCAGGTCGAGTATTAACATCCTGGCCAGAGCTTTGCTATCACTTTACAGTCACAATCATGAACACACTAGACGAGATGAATTCAGTAAATATGAGGTACTGCATCCCGAGACATGCTAGACCTTCTCAGTCGCATCTTTGATGTCGATATGAATCCCGTTGAGAAACATGCTAACATAGCTCTGTAGCTAGTTTGGCCGATGAGTTTATGAGAAAAATATTATACCACATAATTTTTCTGAAAGCGAATCCATCTACTCTTGCGAGGATCAATTTAGAAACAGCAAGAGACCATTATACGTCTATACATCAAAGATACCATCATTTGATTACGTACGCTGATAAGAAATTGTTCATCCTATACCCTCTAGAATCTTGTCTTGTATTGTGAGCAAGCGTCAACCAAGCTGCAATATCAGACAAATACAGCTTGGTAATTGGAAGTGTATAGCTTTTTAAATTTTGTTATATACTATCATGATGAAATCTTCATTTTTGTATTCTTGCCCATTTTATTTTAAACATTTCATTTTTCGTGATACTATTTAAAGATACTATGTCTCTTTTGCAGCCAACATCAAATTCTGTAGAACTTTGCAGGAATTATATGTCATGTATGTCCTATCTGTGAAATTCAAACGTTAGCAGTGTCCTAATATTCAAATTATGCAAGGAAACCCGTTTACTTGCTAGACTTCACTGTCAGACACTATTGAGTGACTGACTGGATTTTTTTTTCTTCTTTCTTTGGTAATAACATACACAAAATGAGCTGTAAAGGGTACATGAGCATTTGTCTACATCAATAACCCACTTCTTGTAATGGCCAAAATTAAACTGATTGAATCTTTGCGCAGCATAAAACATACGACCATTCGGTACAATGGTCTGAAAATCAGACTAGGCCTATTACTAACAGGCTCTATAGCTCTTAAGTCGATTCGACAACAAATAGTCGTCATTTTCCCACTTAAAAACATTTTCAGGCCCCCCCCCCTTTTTTTTTAAAGGGAAGTTCTAAATTAGTATTATCTTTCAAATGCCGTTGTAATTTAACCTTTTCATTGTTTGGCTTGCAAATGGGACATTTAAAGGTATATACATGTATTTTTATGATTACAATGGCATTGTAATCCTGACACACTGTTGGCTGCTTGTGCCTATCACGATCCCGAGCTCATACATACATTCCCAACAAAGTTTATAAACAATATCAATACAATAAATACTCACACTATTATTTTCCAAAATGTGATGCATGTTTGGAATGATGATAAATGGAGTATCGTCCTCATCGAGAGCAATGATTTTAAACCCTCTTGGTAGCATGATTTCACCGCCATCTTGGATCAGAGGAAGTGATGGTGATGTTCTATTCTCAGACACGAAATCATGTTCCTCTTGTTCAACCTGGTGGTCGTGAATATGTGAGGAGGAGGAGGAGGTCGAGTCTGATGATGATGGCTGATAGTGACCTCCTCGTTTGTCCAATGACATCGAGCCTCGATGTCTGGTGATACCGGCTGAGGCGAGGTTGATGGCGGGGATGATGAGGACTGTTCCGATGCTGATTAGTAACCATTGGCAACTTAAAGTAGTCGACATCATGCTGGACGATCTGGTATAAGATATCGTGGCTGCTGAAGACAGCTTTATGAATAGGTTCTTAGTGGATCCAAAGCGATCTGTGTGTAATGACAAAGAGAAATGGCGTCAAAATGTGTATCCGACTTTTTTTACAGTGTGTTCATTTCTTAATTGATAAATAAACATTATCATGATCATGAAAAATCCACCATCATTTTCAAAACACGTCCCATGAGTAAACCTATGGCGTCACCAGAAAGTTGTCACTATTCACCTCTTTTCACACACTTTGCATCTCCCTTTATTCTTGGGAGAACAGTCTAATAACGCGTACAGTGGACTATAGCGTTGAGACTTTGCTTTGATAACATATCATTACACATTAATAAATGATTTTTTAAATCCATTCGTTCTACGTAATCATGGTAATAAAATGTCTTTACCTTTTCATCTCTGATTCATAAATCCTACAAATGCACAAAATACCGCATCTTGCATCGAAAGAGGAAGTTATCACGCGTCAATTATCTGGTTGCAATGATTACATACATAATCATTCTAGCTCCAGGACTAAACAAACTGAGATCTATATTCACAAAGACCTTTACCACAAAATCTCAATACAAACATTCCAATCGCAACACTGTCTTATTTTCTCTTTTATTACATTTTCCCTCAGCATTGAATGGAATGTTTGTGCTTTATTGGTAAGACTTTTCTTTCTTTTGAAATCTTTAAAGGGTGTGAAAAGTTGTGGAAACACACGAGAACCTTTCATCGTCTCACCGGGGAGGGCAGACAATAATCCACCACAAGCGGTTGACATTGTTTCTATACACAATGCGTCCTAACATTGAACTCATCCTATCAATCAGAAAAGTGTGATATGGTATTTTTAGATGTGGTTACATATTTGTGTAGTGGAAAGGGCACGAGTGTCGACCTCACGAACGCCATATTTCCGTGGGATAAAAAGCTGTGAACTGAACATGGAGCTCCGAACACCATGCTATGAACAACACTGCAGGAAGTCAAGTCGATGATCCTCTTCTTCTACAGGTGGTCAGACATTGCACTATCATGTGCTTCCAGCGTTTTTCAACCGTTTCAAGAAAATTAGTTAGGAGTAAATTGAATCTGAACGTGTGCAACTAAAAATCTAAACGAGAAATTTACCAACCCCTCGTCATCATTCTTCAAAAAGATAAGAAAGCAATCGAAATTTTCTTACGACTCTCAGGACAGTCGTAGATTTCTGGGCGAAGAATCAAAGCAATCTAGCTGGGCAGCCTGTGGGGGCGGTGGGGGGGGGGGGGTGTCTAAAAGAGCAGGATAATTATATGTTATATAGTTAGAGGAGGCGCGACGGCTCAGTGGTAAAGCAGTGGTTTCGTTATACCGGGAGGTCTCTGGTTCCAAACCAAGTCGAAGCGCTAGTGCTAGTTTGGTAAGATTTTAATCCTCATTACTAAATCCCTCCGAGACGACTTAAAGCTCTCGGTCCCTCGTTCTTATGTATACATCATACAAATGCTTTCTTACCAGTCAAGTTAAACAAATAAACATACACATTCAAATATTTCTAAGTTTTTACAAATGCTTATTTGGAGCATAGAACCCAAGAACAGCAAATTATATTTTCAAATTCAACTGAAATTCTCACGCATTCACGCCATTAACAATGTCAGGCATGAACCTCAGCTCGTAAGCACTAATTATCACTAATTCCTTTCAGATGATTCAAGTAATCGTCTTCCTCTGCTGTCGGAAACAGTTGGGCTTGACTTCAATGACATTGATATTTTGCTTTGTAGCCAGACAAGTCTTGTCCGTAAATGTCTAATAAATATTCCTAAATATGACATTGAAATTTGACTTGGTCACACGAGAACATTGTGAAAGGAATCGTCTAGAAACTATTGATTTATCGAATATGCAGTATATAGTGAGGTTTATGAATAATCAAAATGAAGGAAAAAACTCAATTGCTGAAAATCACATGCACCACACAAAGAATGAAATATGGGATTACATACATGGGGCATGCACAAGGGGCACGAGTCATGTGCCACGGGCGACGCTTGAAGGGGACTCAAAAACGCAGAAGAGTGGGGGAGCAACACGCATTAAAAAAAAACGTCAAGGAAAAAATGGAGATATGGAAGATAATCTCGCAGTCTCGCACCTTGATATAAATCACAGCTTATATATAAACAGCGTTTATAAAGGGTCAATAAAAAGGGTATACACGAGTTAGTAGACGAGTTGTTATAACAGTAATAACTTCGGTATCTGCTATCAGAAGGCAAGGAAAACGTTATAAAATTCTCTTTTCGAACTTGGACGGAAGCCAATGAAATGATTGGTGGGAAGAACTTAACCTGACCCCTGAATCAAATACAATTGTATACAACGACACGTACATTGAATAACGAAATAAGAAGACAAAATTCATGGGAAAATTATACTCACTCCAATGATGCCAAACTAATTCGATAAAATCAATAACAAATAGGCCTAAGTATTCATTATTAAAGGTAGAACACTCAGAACGAAATAATTTTAAATAAAATTGAAATTGGCCCCTTACTATCAGTGGCTCTAGTCACCATTATCAGTTTCTCTCAATTCAAACTTTAAAAAAGAAACTTTCAAATTATTTTGTGAAATTACTGTATCGGTGTTGAAACCAATCAGCAAGTTAACTATATTTTTTCTTCTTTTTATTAATGTCGACATCCACGGTTTAATGACGAAAAACTCGAGATTTTGGATTCCTTTAAACATTAAACCAACAAAGAAAATGCACATTAGCGCAGTGCCCCCCCCCCCCCATCCCACTTAATTTCTCCGCATACGTCACAAGATCAATTCGTTAATCCGCCATCAATCCTGTAGCTAGGTTCCAGGCATGAAGGTTACACCGTATTATGAAGGATATCCTCTTCATTTCGAGGAAACTATTTCATGATATTGGCGTCGATAGCCAACAGTTATCGGCGACGACCTACAGTGATCAAATTGGAGATGTCAATTCTAATTGAAATCAATTTAAATGATCAACTGAGATAGCGTGCACGGTTTATAATCTATCGATGGGCCGATTCAAATACACAACTATTAAAGTTATTGTTTACATTTTAGCCATCGAGGCAAAAACTTCGTTAATTTGTTTAAGGCAACAAACTCTCCCCTGAGGACAACAACCCCCAGAAACTGTTCCCTTAGCAGGACCATTAGCCTACCCCCGTGAGGCGATGGAAACAAAAATATACATAACTTGAAGGATTTTAAAATATTTTTGAAACAAATTATAGATGAGTGTCCACTATACATACAAAGGAAATTACACACTCATCTGGTGATGAAAATTACAAATGACGGATACATAATGAGAAAATACAGAATTGAAACATCATCTCATGTTTTCTTTGTTGTGCCATTTTTGGAGACGCGCTATAACGTGTACCTTTCTGCGAGAAAGGTAATGTTTCGTACTTTACTAGGTGAAAAAAACTACGATAGAGTGGCGAAACCCTCCGACCCAATCAGATTGCATAGATAATTTAAAAAAGGCTTAGGATAAATAAAGTTGAGAACGAGAGAGAGGAAAGCAAAGACAAGATGTAATATTCCGAATGCTCCGAAATGTTCCCAAAACAATTTTTGACACATGTGTCTAGGGAGGAGGTGGAGGGGTTTTCCCCGGATTTACCGGGGGTAATTGTCTCAGCGGTAAATTCTCCGGAGGTGATTGTCACAAGGGGCTAACTATCACAGGGGTTAATATTGTACTAGGGGGGATTGCTGGGGGGGGGGGGGGGTAATTGTGTCGCTGTTAATTGGCTTGGGGTGATTGTTAAGGTGGTAAATGGCGTAGCACCGCATGCTCTATCTCTATTCACTTTGAGTTTTATATCGCGTTCCCACCCATTTCCCCAACCCCCCTCTTTCTTTCACCCTGCATGTAAAACTATCTGGGCACACATTTCCAATGGTCTATGAAATTCATTATTATCATAATACACTTCCACGGTTTTAATGTACAAGGTGTGTATTAAGCAATTTTATCAATCCAAATTATTATTATTATTATATTTTAAAACTTTTTATACTTTTAGTAATCTTCCCTCGATTATACTTTTGATTCTATTTATTATTTGTTGGTTTTTTTGTGGTGGTACAAAAATGTAAAATCTTCTCCGACTGACATTTGTCGTATGATCTTCCAAATCCATGTCGGTATAACCGAATCGTATATAAGAATGTGTTCTCTATCATAATACTTTTACTGCTTTCTGCGATCGAGGGGCGGGGGAGGCCTCCTTTTGCTTGAAGTTATTTCGTTGAAAATGGAAAACTAAAAGGGTTTCATCCAACATGACAGAATGAGCTTTGATTTGCATCTAGCTGCCTGGTTTGGGCACATTTAAGGCCAGACAATAAGAAGTTTATAAGTTCGTGTCAAAATATGGAAGTACATCGCAATACGTTCTATAAAAAAGAAATACTATTCAAGCATTCACATCCATTCGTCAAACACACATTCAAAGAGTAGTACCAAAATCATAGTTCCTTTCTATCCGATCTCCATTTTCTATCATCTCTCAATAATAATTTGATAGACCTACCTCCCCTCCTGTTACCAGCGTGGAAATAAAAACTGATGCAATAATCATTGGAAAGAATAAATGTCTCCTATTAATAAGCAATAATGTTCATGCCATTAAAAACAGAAAATGTTTTAAATGTAAGAGTCTGCCCACTTACCAGGTTCGAGACGTCCACATGTACCGGCCTCTGAAAGCATGCGACAAAACCACGTGGAGTATTGTTGACCAACAAACTACGAGCCAAAGTAACCCACAGAGCAGAATCGAAGCAAAACTAAATGACTCGTCCAAACTTCTTGCAAAGATAAGCTTTCTATCGAATTCTTTTCTGTGTTCTGACAGGGCAATAATTTGAAGATGTCCCGGTAAAGTTTGGAGATGGTGCAGTGCAATCGGGGATGATGCTTTGTGATGACAAAATTGAGGCTTGCTCTACGAAATTGGAAGAAAATCTGACTGATGCCGGCCGGTTGCGAGACGAATTTATTAGTAATCGAGTGGGCGTGTCGACTACTGTTCATTGACCCGCTCGCTTGAAAAACTAGCCAATGAGCGATGAGTGCGTAGTAATCGGTGCTGTGATCACGGTCTGGACTGCCCATTCACAATATTTGTTTTGATGGTGTCTGTGAATGCTGCAAATGCAGACAGACTATTAAAATCGATCTACTTATATCACAGAAAGTGGGGTAGAGAGAGAGAGAGAGAGAGAGCCAGACATAGGGATGTGGAAGGAGAACGAGAGAGAGAGAGATAGAGGAGGAGGGGATGAGAGACAGGGAGAGAGAGATTCAAAGGGAGAGCGAGGGCGTTGTTAGGCATGACTTCTTAACAAAAAGAGGGGGGGGGGGGGACGTTGCCGCAGTAATTTTTTTTCATTTACGGGGGTCGTCACACCCCCTCACTCCCTGTATCGTCATCCCTAACAAAAACAGTGACAAAGGGGAGAAGAAAAACGAGAGAAAAGAACAGACAAGAAGAGGCGTGGATTGAGAGAGGAAAACACTTTTAAAATGGAAGGACGGGGGGGGGGGGGGGAGGGTGAGCATATGGTAAACTATACCGTATAGTATTCACAGACATAGAATAGAAGACGTCTGAGCGAATACAAACATTGGTTCACAGCCAGGACATGTCTCTCTGTGAACCTGACAAGGACATGCTTATACCGGTGGAAGGCAAGGGGGACTGTGCCCTTATCAAATAGTAGAGAGAGAGAGGGGGGGGAGAGATGGGATAGAGAACGGAAAGGAACCTAGATAAAGAAAAGTGAAATATCACGGTAGTTTGATTCCCCTGTCTCACACCTTCTTCGTAATCATATTTGATCTTAGACCACCCCCTCCCAGTGATCTGATCAAGAGCGCCCTCAATGGATAGATTCACGCAGGCTACGTCAATGCACCCTCCTAGGCAATACAATGTTCAAGGTCTTTTTGAAGATTTGTTTTCCCCTGGGCATCGTGACGATCATGATATTTGTGTTTAATATCTACTCTGTTCTTCCAAAATTGGAAATCATATCCGTAGATATTTTCTTAGAAATTGTGAACATCCCCAGTACAGGCTCTGGTTGTTCCCTAAGACCTACCCTTCTTCTTTGCAAAGGTTTCATTCCTAATATCAAGACGTTTCGGTTCTTCATCCCTCATCATGTCAGCCTATTCCTAATATCAAGACGTTTCGGTTCTTCATCCCTCATCATGTCAGCCTATTCCTAATTAGGCCTACATATCATAGTTCAAATACACGCCATATCTGACATTTAAGTTTTGTGGCAGATAACTAGTTTTCCCACGCAAACGGCAGATAGGCCTACATCACGAATACACAATACACCAAAACCATGTCATCTATTGTTTGGTATTGATTTTAATTCAAAGAAGGAAAAAGATGTTGATATTATTTTGAATTATGCACTTTTTACTATTTACAAAAGCTTTGTTGGAAAAGAACTTAAAAAGAAAGAACAAAAGAGAGACTTCTTCATATTTTGATATAGAAGAAAATATTAGAAAACCATGTATATCCCTCCAGAAATGGAGACAAATGCTTAACATGTGAATATGTTTATATTATTATGAATTCATAAAGAAGACCTGAAATAGTTATTTTACGAAAAAAGAAAATCATGAATACACAATAAATTTAACCATATAAATAGTCTATAATTTTGGATAATGATTGATCACGCCCTCTGGCCAACCCTGGTCGAACTGATCATCCATGTTTTGCCACCCCTCTCTTCTGACCAGGTGATCTCACTGATTACACCCCTCTTGCATGACAGCTAGAACCCAGACTAAAAAAACCCAGACGGAATTACCTTCAACCGTAAGAGGGCTATAATCTTTCGGGCGGGTTCTGCCCCCCCCCCCCCCTCCCCCTCCTCCCCCTACCTCTACCAACACCAAATTCCCCCTTCAAAGTTTCCGGTCACTCATTCCGATGACCTCCTTTCCTTTCTCTCCTCTTCTTTCTTTACTCAAAGGAGCTTTTTACTACTGTTACTACTATACCAGGGTCACAAAATATAAACACAGAACAGTAGTGCTGGTTGGCATTATGCCAGAACTCGTCTGTCCAGGGATAGCAACGAGGTTAGTGTGTTCTCTCTTACGAGATCCGTGGGAAATTGTCGCCAATTCTTTGAATAATAACAAAACATTCCTTGATTCAAAATGTGATATCAATATATATATCTCACCGTGAGCGTAGTAGAATGTTGCGAAGGATGGCCACACTACAAAGGCAAATTATCTCATAATATTCTACTTCAATATTATTGTGATTAACCACTTATCGTTTGTATTCTCTAAAATAAAACAACAAAAACAAGAATTTTAACAAGAATTCACTGAAATGTAACCCAACAGGTGTGTATCTATAATATTTGTCGCACACTGTCTAGGTTCATGAACACTTAAAAATACGACGCATACCGAACCTTTGAAACTGATGACCTAGGCGTCCAGTATGTGCGATTATTTTATATTTCTTGTTTCCCATCCTGTCGTCAAGTTCACCCTAGCCAAGTTTCCCAGATCGACGAGAATGCTTATATTATTAAATATTTATATAAATGTAATAAATGCAATGTATCTGTTCTAGCGGTTGAACCAGATAGGGGATATAAGGCGTGTCACCCTGGTTTTTCTTTTAATAGGAGGACGCGTATTGGATCTTTGCGATAAATTGATTGTGGCAGATCGTTTTGACAGGAAAAAATATGAGAAAATGACTTGTTACATCATATTCATGCTAGAAACAATGCCTCGCTCAGCATCACCCTGTAGACGGGGAGAGAGAGAAGGGGGGGGGGGGTAAGTAAGTGTTCATCAGGTAATATTACAAGAATAATTGGTGGTATCATGGCATGTGTACATGAATTTTACATCAGCAGCAACTGCCACTTCCAACATTAAAAACAGGCTTAGTGAAGGCATGAACTATCGTACAATTTTACATAAACATGGCAAATTAAAAAAATTGGGCCAAAACTGTACAGATTACTATTCAAAGTGTAGAGTTAAAAATAAAGACATTTCCTTAAATTACCTTGAGAGCAAAAGTAAGTGGCTTCGGTGTGCTATTATAGATCTATCTCACATTCCTTAGTATTGTATCCATGAATACATCGATTAGTACGTCCTATATATTCAATCAATTTTTTCCCCCTCAAACTCCTTTTTCCCCAATCGATGCGGTCAGGATCTAGCCATTCTTTGACTAACCTCCCGGTGTTCAAGAAAGAAATCAAAGAAAAGGAAAACGGAAGCCACAAATGTATACGTTCCACTCTGCGGGGAGTAGATCAAACAAAAGACCAAAGATTGCGACATTCCAAAGCTTAGCAATTTTTTTTCTTTCGATCGATGGGGAGGAAACGGACAAAAAGATAATAAAGAAAATGTCATTAGTATATTTTCGTCTCTGAATAGATGAGGTTTATATAGCTCGTCTGCGAATGGTTGTCCTTTCATGACCTGCTGTGATAAAGACACCGATGTGTTGGACTAGGAATGTCAATATTGCAATCATCCATCGTCTACCAAATTATGTAAATACAAATATCACTGTGGTTGGTACCAAGAGGTTCGCCTTGTGACTATTTGGTTGATCTGGAGGTTCTTCAATGTCTCAAATTACATTTGCGACATTGGTAAATACATTTTCTGATCAGCATTATTCATTCTTTCGGCAAATCAACTTTCAAAAGTGAAATTAGTTACAAAAGTTTAACTAACTCATTAATTTCTGCATTAGGAAATACGATTACCTAACTTTGTGAGGTGAGTAAACAGTATTTCTAAAACAAGTGCCACAATGAAACCAGTTTCCCATACATCCCAATGATATAATGGCCCCCAACATCTTGACGAATAATACTTGTTTCATAATCTGCTATATTTAGTATTGGTAGTAGATGGTTGGTAGAGGGCAATGACCCGTAATGAAGCCAGCTATCAGGGCTAGACATTGGAAGGCTAGGCTAGCAGGCCTGCCTCGGATTGAACTCAAAGTGGGTTGAGGAATCATGCGTGGACTGGTACGAGGGGCAGGGAGGGTGTAGGCTGAGGATGAGAGGGGGGGGGGGGACAGAATGGAAGTGGCAGATAGGGAGGAAAGAGGCAATATTGGAATTGAGAAATGATTAAATAAGGATATGGTGGATCGAAGGAAATTGTAATAAATATTTTTTCATTTGGGGTTCCACTGGAGGACTACTTTTTAGCCAAAATGGAGTTCGATCGTGTTCAGTAATTTCAAACATTACTAAAGAAGTAAAAAATAGTAGGCAAACCCTTGTTTCTATTAAAGCACGGTCATATTGGCCAAGATAGATAGGTAGAGCTCATTCTAGTATAGAGCCTCTAGTATTGCAAAGATAAATTAACCATTGGTTCATAGAGACAACAGTGAGATATCACGCTCAGGCCGCCATTTAACTCCTTCGCGTCCCTCTCCAAAATTGTGCCGGTAACTGTATTGCACTGATACAATTTTACTTGGACGGAACTAGACAGCTATCTTTTAAAATTAATAACGCAAATCATCTCAGCCCCGTAGGATATCGTTGTGTATTTGTTTATTGTTTTAGGTTACAATAAAAGCTCTTACAGTATACTGTACATAGCAATATAATTTCACATGCGAAGCCTGCATGACATGTCTCAATTTTGCAAAAGGTCAAGGAAAAAAGACGAGCGAACAGAAACTTATATAAGTACCCAGTGAAGACTTTGAAGTTCTTGATTTAAAGCCCTGTACAAGTTTGATATTTATACAACGACAATTTAATCTTTAATTGTATTTTAATGAGTCGTTTATCGCACGGCAAATACGCAGTCCGACATTGCTTGGACAAAAGTATGTGAGTGTGCATGGGGAGGGGTGGATGGTGATACTTGTGTAGTATTTGAATAAACATCAATGTTTATTGTTATTATTATTATTATTATTAATATTAT